CCGCTGCAGCGACGCCAGCCGGTTGCATAGGGGACCCACCAGGGGAGAAGCCACCTGCAGCGCATGCATCCACCACATGCACACACACACCCCCTGCTAGACAGCTAGCTGAGCAGCTAGCTAGACAGCTAGCTCAACAGCTAGTGGGGTAGCTACGGTAGCTAGCTAGCTGACCAGCTCGCTGCTGAGATCGCTAGCTAGCTTGTTGGCTAGCTATTTGACGAGCTATGCCTGCGGATAGCTGGCTATCTAGCTGCGAGTCTACCAGTGTTTGGCTAGCTAGCTAGCTAGCTAGCTAGCTAGCTAGCTAGCCAAACACTGGTAGACTCGCAGCTAGCTAGCTAGCTAGCTAGCTATCTAACTGTGGAGCTAGCTAGGTAGCTAGCTAGCTAGCTAGGTAGCTAGCTAGCTAGCTAGCTAGCTAGCTAGCAGTGGGAACGCACAACGAGGACGAGGCGACTGGGCGTAAGTGCGGCCAAGAAAGCAGCGAAGTGATTGGGGTCGACTTTGTTATGGAGATAGCCGTCTCTGAATGCCTGTCTCCCCGCCCCTGTTTGTAGGGCATCAGCGAGTGCTGCTGTCTCCTGCAGAGGAGACAGTTGCGGCAGGAGAGGCTGAGGATGCTTGATGGCATCAGGTGCAGCAGGAGACAAGGAGACAGCAGGAGACAATACAGTGTCTCCGTATGCTGCTGCTGTTGATAGACCCGATAGAGAAGGGGCAAAGGAGACAGATTGCCGCTCGTGCAGCTCAAATGCTGTCTCCTCTGCTGCGTACTGCTGCAGCACATATCGCCAGTTCTCCTGTATAGACACTTGGTGCTTCAGCAGCCTGAGAGACAGACAAGCAGCAGCAGCAGCAGCAGCAGCAGCAGCAGACAGAGAATAAACAGAGACAGAAACACAAGCGATGATAGAACAGCGAGAGAAGCAGCAGGATAGAGAAGAGACAAAAAAAAAGGAGACAGTTGAGCAGCAGCAGCAGGGGAGACATCATACAGAAACAAAATATGCTTCTATAGAGAGGAGACAGAGGAGACAAGCAGCAGCAGCAACAAAGAGACAAGGAGACAAACGCATGCACAGAGACAGACAGTGGAGACAGACAGCAGCAGCGAGCCAAGGAGACAGTCAGCAGCAAGAAGAGATGAGACACAAGGAGACAGCGACCATCAACAATACGAAAGGAGACAAAGACACGGTCAACAACAACAGCAGCAGCAGCAGCAGCAGCAGCAGCAGCGGGCGTGTGTCTGACTGCAAGTAGACAGTCAACAGCATCAGCAGCAGCAGCAGCAGCAACAGCAGCAGGGTGTGTCTGACTGCAAGTAGACAGTCAACAGCATCAGCAGCAGCAGCAGCAGCAGTAGCAGCAGCAGCAGCAGCAGCAGCAGCAGCAGCAGCAGCATGTGTCTGACTGCAAGTAGACAAAGAATATTTTGCCCATGAGCTCGATGGTGAAGTGTTTTAAGCTGCCCCCCGGCACCATCAACGCAACCCTCAGCTCAGCAGCGCATGCATGCAGCCCCACTGTCACATGCATCCCCTCTGCCAGCCCCGCAGCACGCAGAGCACCCAGACAGCTCCCGGGGCCCCCCATACCCAACAAACTCGCAGCCAGCCTGCACCACAAACAGCAGCAGCAACAGCAACAGCAGCAGCAGCAGCAGCAGCAGCAGCAGCAACAGCAGCAGCAGAAGATGAAGGGAGACATTTCTTTACATTTCGATCGAAAGACAAATGCTGCTGCTGTCTGGATTGTTCGGGTGTATGTACAGCTCAGCGAGGAGAGCAGCAAACAGGTAAAGCTGTGCTTACATTAGGCAGGCCCTGAAACACAAACCAACAGCAGCAACAGCAGCAGCAGCATCAGCAGCAGCAGCAACAGCAGCAGCAGCAACAGCAGCAACAGCAACAGCAGCAACAGCAACTCGATATGCTGAACAAGCGCAGTATGGCGGGCTTCACTAAGAGGCAAGGCACCGCCGCAGCTGCAGCATCAGCAGCAGCAGCAACAGCAGCAACAGCAGCAGCAGCAGCAGTGTGAAGGAGACAAAGAGCCAGGGGACGAGAGGAGGATAGAGGGAGACAGGAGCAAGCCGAGGGGACAGCAGAAGAGAAAGGAGACAGAATTAAAAAAGGAGACAAAAGGAGACAACAAAGGAGACAAACGGAGACAAAAGGAGACAAACAAAAAGGAGACAAAAGGAGACAGCAGGAGACAAAAGGAGACAAAAGGAGACAAAAGGAGACAAAAGGAGACAAAAGGAGACAAAAGGAGACAAAATGAGACAAAAGGAGACAAAATGAGACAAACAAAAAGGAGACAAAAGGAGACGGCAGGAGACAAAAGGAGACAAAAGGAGACAAAAGGAGACAAAAGGAGACAGCATATTTTTCTTACTTCATATCTGCACAGGGCGGCCTGTCTGGCCCCACAGCATCCAAGACAAAGACAAACTCAACAGAGTGTGTTTGTCTGCTTGCTGGGAGCATCAGCAGCAGGAGACACAGAGGAGACACCTGCTGCTGACTTGCCCTCGCGGGCATCCCCAAAGTCCCTTGG